CGAGCAAACAGCAAGGAGAGAAATCGTCTCTCATAACAATTTTATTTTCATCGACAAGTTTTTATTATTTTGAAAACAGTGCCCGTTTGAAATCCTTATACGCAAATAAATCTTCTATCAGGCAAGGGGAAAACAGACCGAAAGAGCCGATCAGCTACAGCACAATCGGAATTTCACCGAAGATACAGCCGCAGAAATAAACCACGATCTTCAACCGCTGTGCGTTCATTGAAGTGAACGCAGTATATCGATTTTGTTATAAAGTGAAACCTAACCTCGCCGTTTTACAATCCTGTATGATATTGTCTGGTTCTTCGATAACGGTTTTGTGTTTTGGTAGAGATTTATAACAATTTATTCGAACCCAAAGATGTAATGTCAGTGGCAAACTATCATCTGCTCGTACCCTCAGTTGCGGCGTGCCGCAGGGTAGCATATTGGGTCCTTTGCTATTTTTAATTTACATAAATGATCTTCCCAACTCCCTGCGGGGCGCCGTACCAAGAATGTTTGCCGATGACACCAACCTTACGTTATCTGCTAAGACGTCAACAGAGCTTAAGCTAGCTCTAACCCCTGAATTAAATAACCTTAGCTGTTGGCTGAAAGCTAACAAGCTCATTCTAAATGTTGCTAAAACAGAGCTAATGATTATTGGATCAAGACAAAGACTATCTGCCCAATGTGACGATGTAGAAATCAAAATTGATGACCAAATTATCAAGAGAGTCGATCATACCAAATCCTTGGGTCTTACCATAGATGCTCAACTCTCTTGGGGTAAACACGTTGAAGAGATTTGCAAGAAAGTCTCTTCAGCTATAGGCGCCCTAAAACGTGTGCGGCCCTTTATATCCAAAGAAACTGCAATTCAAATTTATAACGCTTTAATTATGCCTCATTTTGATTACTGCAGCCCCGTCTGGGACTGTTTGAGTGGTTACTTGAGTGATAAGCTCCAAAAATTACAGAATCGTGCAGCCAGAGTTATTACTAAATCACCCTTTGATGCGAGCTCAAACCACCTTCTCTCCACCCTCAGCTGGGAGAGGCTATCTCTTCGACGAAAGAAACAAAAAGCCTTAATGATGTATAAAACCATGAATGACCTTGCTCCAGAATATCTACAAAGTCTTTTCTCTCAGCGTCACTCTGCTTACAACTTAAGAAACTCTGAGGGAAGGCTGACCCTGTCCAAACCAAGCACCAATTATTTGAAACGAAGCTTCTCTTACAGCGGGGCCATGTTATGGAATAACTTGCCCAAAAACTTAAAAAACGCTGCATCCGTTGAGCATTTTAAGCGAAATATCAAGAAGGTAGCTGATATATCGGAGTCCCACACGGCAATCATGTAAAGCAGTTGTAATTAGTTTTAGTTTTTAACTTATGCTTAACTGATGATTTCCCGTGTTTAAATAAAGATTTACATACATACATTCCCTCACATAAGTTTACATAAAGATTTGCATACACATAGCACACGCCGCATTCAAATTATTTTAAAGTCACGCTTTCAGTTTCTGCACTGGGTTATGAAAATGTTTTGTTTCTAAAGGTTATTACAATATTCAAACTTATTTACCTTTTCTGGTTTAAAATAGAACAAACTCTTCCTGGATTTGGCGTTACTCGCTTCACTTCGGCTTCCGCTTCAGCACGCTTTCTCAGCCCGTTTCCCGGGAGTTGTGCCACTTGGCTGAGACGATGTCTTAATTCCAAGACACTTTCAACGGCTCATAACGGGAAAACTAACAGTGGTAGACCCGGGTAGACCCCGAAATTTGCAAAGAAGAAAGGTTGAAGTAACAAGAGGGCCAAAATAATTCGATAAAACCGCTAACAGTAACCAGCAATGAATCCAAGAAGAACGGCAAAAACAACACTCAAATCATCATGGCGGCCTGCAAATGACCGAGCAATTCAAAATTGTCACAAACGCTCAAGAAAGCAAAATATTTAAAAGTAACGCAACTGCTATCAAGATAAAGTGTTCCAACAACTTTCCACGGTGGTACAGTGTCGAAATTACCAACACAAGCTTGGAATAAAGCGAAAATTTCACCACATATACCTCTAAAAAAGGCTCTTTCCAAGCGCCAAAATAACTCTACAAATGACGCATTCTGATTGGTCGAATCTCGTGACGCACACCGCCTGGTCGGCGGGCGAAGTCTCCCCTGGGAACCGTTCTAATTATAATTCTACTCGGGAAAGGGTTGACTCCAAGGGCATGTATGGGAGATGGAGGCTCCATTTGATGGGCTCCTGCATATGTTTAGCGATGCAATCGGGCTTTAAGGTGACTCGACCCAGTTTTTTTGGGGGGTACCATCCTACTTTGACGCTCTCTGGTATCCCCACCTTTACTTTTATCGTAAGTCTAACACATAGAATGGATAACATATAGATCAATCTACAATATAACATAAAATTTTTGGCGATCGGAGTAAATGTCACGTGGTTATAATGCCACGCCCCTTTGAGGTCTGAGTCGAAAATCTGCCGTTGCCGGCATTTTTTCGTGAAAATCTCTCGGCTACACATAGTGCGCATTAGTGCCTTGCGCTGAACAGAGTTTCACCAAAATCGCAAAGACCCAATTCGAGAAATTCAGCGGTTTCCAAATTTAGGTCATAATTTATGCGAAAATGATAAGCAAACTTTACACGGATTATATCTAATAAACTATGAGATTCATCTCTTTATTTTGGGCATCGTTATAACAGATGGGTCCTTGCAAGTCAGCAAAACGCTTTAGGGCCTTGTAAATGCGCGCGATTTCGAGCAAAGCAAACATATAGAAATTATAGTTTTCGCTATTTGTTGACGTTTGTCAGCGTTTAAGAGTCCTTCTCACGAAAAAAGCATTTTCTTAAAAATTCGTAGTTTTTTTTCCTTCAAATTTTTTCAGGGCCACAATTGATTAACTAACTACCCGGACTCTGAATTTCATGGTCATTGAAAAACTGTGACATTATCTTCTATAAGCCCAAACTTGAGTAAACATTGAAGATTTTTAGCGTTTTGGCTGAGTTTGTGCTTTGGGAGTTGTCTATTGTTTCTAGTCTGTCATTATACAGCATTCTTGTTCAGCACGCGTGCAATGACCGCGCTTGGCTGACTTCCGAATGCTCACCGAGATATAATAATTTTGGTACAGTGAGACAGGCCATCGCGTGATACATAGAGGTTTAAGTCACAATTTTTAATCAATTCTCGTGCTTCTTGTGCCTTTGCAAAAAAATCAAGAAGTGCTACACACTAAATCTACTTACTATTAAAAAAATATCATTTTTTCATAGGTTTAATGCAAGCCAATAATTAAACCAACTCGTGACGGGAATATCTCGGTGAGCATTCGGAAGTCAGCCAAGCGTGGTCATTGCACGCGTGCTGAACAAGAATGCTGTATAATGACAGACTAGAAACAATAGACAACTCCCAAAGCACAAACTCAGCCAAAACGCTAAAAATCTTCAATGTTTACTCAAGTTTGGGCTTATAGAAGATAATGTCACAGTTTTTCAATGACCATGAAATTCAGAGTCCGGGTAGTTAGTTAATCAATTGTGGCCCTGAAAAAATTTGAAGGAAAAAAAACTACGAATTTTTAAGAAAATGCTTTTTTCGTGAGAAGGACTCTTAAACGCTGACAAACGTCAACAAATAGCGAAAACTATAATTTCTATATGTTTGCTTTGCTCGAAATCGCGCGCATTTACAAGGCCCTAAAGCGTTTTGCTGACTTGCAAGGACCCATCTGTTATAACGATGCCCAAAATAAAGAGATGAATCTCATAGTTTATTAGATATAATCCGTGTAAAGTTTGCTTATCATTTTCGCATAAATTATGACCTAAATTTGGAAACCGCTGAATTTCTCGAATTGGGTCTTTGCGATTTTGGTGAAACTCTGTTCAGCGCAAGGCACTAATGCGCACTATGTGTAGCCGAGAGATTTTCACGAAAAAATGCCGGCAACGGCAGATTTTCGACTCAGACCTCAAAGGGGCGTGGCATTATAACCACGTGACATTTACTCCGATCGCCAAAAATTTTATGTTATATTGTAGATTGATCTATATGTTATCCATTCTATGTGTTAGACTTACGATAAAAGTAAAGGTGGGGATACCAGAGAGCGTCAAAGTAGGATGGTACCCCCCCAAAAAAACTGGGTCGAGTCACCTTAAGCAAAGAAAATTTTCTTCAAAGCATTTGAATTTCGCGCTAAAAAGCGTTTTACTCAATGAGAAAGCTTATTTAGAGCTTATTAACAAGTTGGCTCACCCCAGGAAATAACGACTCCATTTGCCGCCACCTGTTGTTTCCTGCCATCGTTCTTAGGCTGACCTAGCCTGAAAAAACAGCCGACATTTGGCGACGCTACCACTGGTTTTCCCGCCAAATGACGTCTGAGAATCCATACTGATGACGGGTCACTATCCAGATCTGGGTAGTGCTTCTGATTGGTCGTGCCGCGTGGGAAACTTGATTCAACCAATCAGAGCACTACCCAGATATGGGTAGTGACCCATCATCAGTATGGAATTTCTGCGCTCGATTCTCAGACGTCATTTGGCGGGAAAACTAGTGGTAACGTCGCCAAATGTCGGCTGTTTTCTCAGGCTAAGGAGGACCATTACTTAAATTCTGGATGAACCTGCCTATCTGAGACCTATCGTCGCCAAGTTCCCCGCTGACCTGCAAGGGAGATAGCAAAGACACGCATTTACCTACAAGTGGTAGACTAACCCCCTTCGCTGAATTTTCGCGGTTTTTTAAGGAAATCGCTCAAGAAATTAAAGAAACGACCCCTACCTAACGCTAGAAAGTTGTGATGACTCTGAGAACTTCCATGGCATATCGACCGCCAAAACTGCCGTTATAACTCCTGAGAGCCCCGAAAAGGCAAATTCCGTCGAGAACAGTCCTGACAAGTGGTGTCTCTTTCTCGAAAGACAGCACCCCCTGCGAGTCCGTCGCATACCGTATGTATTCTTAGTGCCTGGACTTATTACTGCACAGGACCACATCTGTTTTCCCAACGTTTCATCGTCCAGTCACATTGCGAAAGTCTGCACCTTCATTCCAAACTGCGGAATATGCCACAGCGACAGACACGTGAGACGGCGCTTCATATTGATTGGGCAGAGCGAGATGCTAGGGAATTCAGCAAGACGGGAAAAAAGCACGGCGAGGAGCTGAGACCTCTCAAAGAACAGAGCCTCCGAACGTGACTAACAGATGTACTGAAGTATGCGGTCAAAACACCGTTGGAATCGGCAGATCCTGTGCAAAAATATGTTTGGCTGACGTCTATGACCCGAGCGCGCCTCATGTAAGGATCAGAACCTACGTTATCATAGACGACCAAGGCAATCACTCCCTGGCTAGAGACAAACTTTTCGACCAGCTAAACACATTCAAGGTTCAACCACTGCGTACACCCTCAAGACTTGTTTGAGCGTTAAACAGAGTCTAGCGAGACGTGCGCACCGACTGATAATAGAAGCCTTAATTAGACAAGCGAGTTAGGTATCAGTTGCCAACGCTCACAGAATGCAAAGAGATCCCAAACAACCGAGAAGAAAATCCCACACCAGAGGATGCACGAGCACACACGCACCTATTTCAGATAGCAAACAAGATTCTCACACTTGATAAAGAAGCTGAGGTGTTACTGCTTGTCGGGAGAGAAATTCCCCCACTGCACAAGGTCCATGAGTCACGCAGCGGACCCAGAAACGCGTCTTGGGGCCAGTTTTTGGACTTAGGTTGGGTATTACTTGGAAATATTAGGGAACTTAAGCACCAGACGTTCTTGGTACCACGGACGCCAACCGGAAGTATTTTTGCAGCATGGCAGCCACTGCGCATGTCAACACCTTCTTGGGCTGCAGTCACGGACTTCAAAACGAGAGTTCTCTGGTTGAAACCAGAGGTTCAGAAACGTGAGTATGAACACAGTTAAAATTGTCAACATTTGATGTCCAATATAACAGTTTTCAATCCTTGTATGTTCTTTTGTTATGTTAGAACTTTAAAAGCGTAGTAGAATCTTTGAAAGACATTATCAACTGAATTATGCTGTCGGCATTCGTGATGGTTTCACGTTGGCTTGCTTAATGATTTGCATTTGGCGCGTAAACCGCGTCCTCGATCCAGTTCTGCGCGGCCAGCCATGCCGTTCGTGAATCAAGAGCGTCTGGTGCTTAAGTTCCCTAGTTGCCTTGGTGGCGCCCACAAACCGGTAAAAATCTCCACTTTCAAGACCCAAGGCCTCTACAACGGTCGACCCTCACAGTTCATTCCCTGTCCAAACCGCTTCTATATTAAGCACGATACCGCTCCGACACCCTGGGCGAGCAAGAGGAAAACACATCCCCCATAGGCAGCCTCCGCAGGAAAATCTTACCAGGTAGGTACCAACTTTGTTGGTACCTGCCTCACTTCGGCTTATATTACCCTAAAAAGAAGGACAAAATACGTGTAGTCTTCGATGCAGCTGCCGAATCTAACGGGATGTCTCTTAACAAGCTGTTATTGTCTGGTCCTGACCTCACTAACAACCTTCTTGGGGTGCTGTTACGTTTTTGTAAGGATCCAGTCGCTCTGGTAGCCGACATTGAGCAAATGTTCACTCTTTCAAGGAGGAATACAGAGACTTTCTACGGTTTCTGTGATACAAGGATAAAGACCCAAACAGCATGATAACGGAGTACAGAATGAAAGTCGACTTGCACCACGGCAGTAGCTAACTACACCCTACGTCAGACTTTTGAGTTGATATAGGAGAAGCCAAGTTCGGTTCAGACGCAAAGTCGTTCGTAAACAATTCTTTTACGCAGACGATGGCCTCCATTCCGTTCCGAATTCAACCACGGCGATAGATTTGCTATGTCGCATTCAAGCCACTGCAAACCTTCGCCATCCCAAAATTGCCCCAAGTCACGCTGAAGTAATGAAAGCCTTCCCACCTGACGATCATGCAAGTCGCCTCAACAACCTAGACTTCAACAAACGCCCAGTTCCCATGCAGCAATCATTAGGAGTGTACAGGGACTTAAAGTCTGATTCTTTCAGCTTCTAAGTGATGCTAGAGGAAAACCAGTTACACGACAAGGAGTTGTGTCGGTTACCAACAGCCTCTCTGATCCCTGGGCCTTGCAGCACCAGTCATCATTAAAGGAAAACACTTACTCAGATCACTGAGTACGGAATTTAGCGCCTCGCACCCGAATGCCTGGGACTACCCTCTACTTGCAAAACCGGAGGCTGAATGGAAAGAATACTTAGTGTCATTCTCTTCGAGCTCTAGAAGTTATCAAGTTTCACCGGTCTTACGGTAAAGAGGCGTGAAAATGTTCCGCTCGCATGGAAATGCATACATTCTGCGATGACTCCGAAATGGCAAGCAGCGCAGTATCATACCTAAGAATTGTCAACAACACCAGCGAGGTTCAAGTAACATTTGGGCTCGGAAAAGCCAAGTTGACAGCAGCCCATGCCACAACAATACCTCGCTTAGAGCTTTGGGCAGCCGTTCTGGGGGTTGAGATGACTGAGCTTGTCCACAAAGAACTCGAACAGAAACCGGAGTCGGTGACCTACTACTCGGACAGCAAATTCATACTGGGTTACATCAAAAATGAATCCCGTCGATTCTATGTATATGTTAGCAACCGCGTGGATCGCATTCGTAGGTCGTCAGCTCCACATCAATGGAAGTACGTTGCCGTACCAATCTGAACTGTGCAGATCTAGCTACACGATCAATAGCAGCAAGTAGAGAGAGCACGCGCGAGGCACACCGGACGGGTCCAAAGTTTCTGTACAACAGCCCTTCAACTACAGCCAGACTATAGCTCCGCATCAAAACGAACTGGTTTATAAATTCAGTTGCAGTCACGGCTGCAGATCTCTCTGTTTCGGGAGTTATTCCCAAAATGTTCGTATACGATGCTAAATTAGGTTCCAGTGGGGATATTTAGGGGCAATTTTTTATAAGACTGCTGTTTAGCTACGCCTCTCTGACCAACTTTTGTAGTTTGGTATCGGATAGGTACATCGCCTTTGCGAAGCCTTTGAAATATTCAGCTTGCATGACTGCAGGTCGTCGCGTTTTTCACATGATCTTTTTTTTCTTAGGCGATCTCTTTTTGCCTTGAGACGACTCTTGTACTTCTGTAATCACATTCACTGGCGCCATACGTTCAAATAAGTAGTAAGCCTGTTACCTATCCTATTTGAGCTATTTTCTAAATAGCAATTGTTGTGTACGAACAAGACCAATCAGTAGGAATGGTGGCAAAACAGCTGAGAGGATTGACAATTAACAAGCACGACAAATCGGCATTCGCAAAGATGGCGCCAGATTGTAGAGGGATTTTTTCTAATTTGCTGTGGAATATATTTGCGATGTAGTATTAGTTAATCTTTTCCACATAGAATCAATAACGAGACGACTCCTATACCGATGTTGGTCTTAAACGATGCTATTAACCCAGCGGCTTATGCCTTTTACAAAGGGACATAAACAAAGAGATAAAAAGACTGATGTATAAATATTGTCTGAAGAGAAGAACCTTTGGAAGGATAACTATCATAATATTACCACTGAGATAAGTCACTACGAAAACGGAATTATGTGGTGCTGATATAAATCGGAAACTAAAAAGAAATTGCACGTGTTATCCCCTACATTTCACGTTCCGTTTTAGACCATTTTAACTGTTAGAAAATAGAGTGTTTCTACCTTTGAATCGACTGGAACTCAAACAACATAAGACTAAGTTTTTCCAAGTTGTGCCATTGTGACATAGACGAATCACTCAAAATCCTATTCATATCGGTGGCTAGGTTTAGGAATTAGTTTTTTAAGATATCCTGATCCCTTCCCAATCGCCTAACAGTAATGAAACAAACAACAAAAATTAAGATATAAGATAAGCAAGGTTAGACTCAGCTTTATCTAGTTTAGTTCTTTCTTCAAATACAGAATTCAGTATATTCGCTTCCTGTGTACTACTATCACTAGTGGAAATAATGTTATGACGTTACCAACCGAAAGGGAAAGGGGATTTCGAATTCAGTGCTTTGCATAAACGTTGAGTGACTTATTGTCATCAACAAAAGTTATTCGCTCATTTCATTAGTGAGGTTTCTCCTTCGAGAAAAGAAAAGCCATCTTTACCTTTTTTTTCCTAATACAGAATTCAGAAAGTTCACATGATTTCTCTGCATTATCAATAATCTAAACAAAATTAGTTCCTACTGATATCATTTAAATGTCGTCACCAGCCAGAATAGTGAGCGGATTCGAAATTCCATGCTTGGCATAAAAGTTGCTTGAATTTTTTGTCATCAACAGAAGTTTAATCGCTTATTTTGTTCGTTTTTTTTTTCTTCAATTAACATAAGAATTATTATGTAAGAATTAAGAATTATATGATACAAGAATTATCAACGAGTGGTCCATTATAAAATAGAAAAGGATGCCGGAGCGTTAATTGCTAAGGGAAGCGACACTGAATCTCCACAAAATGGTCTTTCGTTGAGCTAAGAGCTTCATTTAAATTTCAAGAACAATATCTTGAAAACAACGTTCTAATTGGTCTCAACTTAGCAATCATAAATTGACGTATACGCTTATTATGCTCGTATGATAAGAAGCTGAAGACGCCGCAATTGTTGCCAGATGTTAATAGATTAAAGTTGTCCTACGTTTTTTTCAAGGAACTCAACGTACTACTTTCAGCTAAAGATCTGTACCGATAATAAAATGGAATCGTGTTTTTGGATTCTTGGCTGAATTCTGTCCATACTTCTGGTGAGCTGTCAACGACAGCTTCGCACCGAAACCAACGCCCTCATCGTTTCACTTTCAGTGGCGGATTTCCGTGTTGGGGCGTTCGTTGTTCCTTCACTGTTCTTTTGTCACATTAGAGGTGGCTGCAACTGGCCTCGACCGTATGCGTCCTGGGTGGATTTTATAAGGTAGCTCTTTGCGTACGCCTCTATAACGAACTTGTGCAGCTTGGCACTTGATCAGTATATGGCTGTTGTGAAGCCACTAAAAAAAGTCGCCATTATGTGTCAACTTACATCAATTTCTTCGGTTATCCCTCTTTGTCTTGTAATTTTTGCCCTTTTCATGGTTTTGTATCTAACATTTTCTTCATGTAGAATAGTCGTAAGGGTATGCTCTGCGCTCCTCGAGATTTTCTTCAGCTGCATGCTCTAGCTTGTTGCGCAATTTACTTGCGATGTGCGTTTGTTCAGATTTGGGGAAACCATACAACTCACCGTTCGTGTAAAAATGGCTTCAAATATAAAATACCATTGTTTGTTCTAAACTCGGCCATAAATCCTCTGGCTTACGCTTATTATATAAACACCAATGAACTACCAAACCATTTCACTTTTTATAGTTTTTTGGTGTGAAAGGCGCGATTTATTATGAAGCCATAGCAACGGTGATATTTTCACATGTGAAGATAACATGTTATTTTCACATGTGAAGATATCAAAGTTTCGCGCTAAAGCTCACCTGGTATTTCATTAATGTTTATATAAATTGTTTTATTAAATGTATGCCATCTAATGACGTCTTAAGCCAAAAAGGAAGGGAATTTCCACACTTTGCTTATAAAACGTTGATTTATTTGTTGACATCCAACAAAGTTTAATTCGCTCTATTTATTAGTTTTTTGATTACTACAATTAATATCGGTTGTTACAGATGAATCAAGCCAAAATAAGACAGAGCGACAGAGCGTCTTATTGTATTTGATAATAGGAGCCTTAAGTCTCCAGAAAATTGTTTTTAGTTGAGTTGAGCGGAAGTTTCATTAAATGTAAGTAAGAACGTAGTTGAAAACGACCTTTCTTATTGGTCTAAACGCTTTTGCTGTCCTGCAATCAACGTAGCAATAATAAATTGACGTACGATATATGACATCCTTATATTGTAGGCGCTTACCCCAGGCGTTAATACTTGTTCTTTTTGAATGCTTAAATGGTACAGGACCTACTTATATTGGAAGCCTTTTTAAATACAGGCATACACCGTATAGGCTAAGAGGCGAGGGCTTGAATTTGGAATTACCTAACTTTACTCTTAAATTTAAAAAGAATTCTTTCACTTATTTATTAACTATGTCATGGAACAGCTTGCCTTCTCAAGTGCGTCTTTCAAGTGATGCTAATGACTTCAGCAGTAAAGTGCACGATTGCAGCTATTTAGAACGAGTATTATAGTTTTCCTAGTCACGTTTTTAGTATGTGGCTTTTTAGTCTGTTTTAGCTTTTTATATTTTATGTTTTAATTACCAAGTTTTTTATATGTATATATTTATTGAGTTGTTTTTAAAATTGAATAATATTATAACATAGCCGTAATTATTATAGATTTTATTTATATACGTTCGTATTTTGAACGAGTTTTTTAGCTTTTTGACGTAACGTGTTAAAATAAATGATTAATTGATTGATTGATTGATATATCATGTTCGTCAGATAAGGGGCAAACGTTACCAGATGTTTATAAAATAACCCAACCGGTTTCTTTCAAAGACATAAACTTGACCGCCCAGCTAACGCTCTGTACCTAATATAAAATGGCAACTTGGTTTTGGATTCTTGGCTGGATTCTGTCCATTCTGACGATGGCTGGAAATGGTTTCACCGTACTTCTTGTGGGCAGTCGGCGTCGGCTTCGCACCAAAACCAACGCGTTCATCGTTTCACTTGGGGTGGCGGATTTCTGTGTTGGGGCGTTCGTTGTTCCTTCACTGTTCGTCTGTCACATCAGAGGTGGCTGCGATTGGCCTCAAACCTATGCGTCCTGGGTGGAATTTATAAGGTGGCTCTTTCAGTACGCCTCTATAATGAACCTGTGCAGCCTTGTACTAGATCGGTATATGGCTATTGTAAAGCCACTGAAATACGTCACCTTCATGACCGCGCGACGAGTAACCCAACTAACATTTATTTCTTGGGTGATTCCTCTTGGTCTTGAAATTTGGTCTCTTTTCATGACTTTATATTTACCATTTTCGATATGTTCGATGCTCTTAGCCGTACAGTTTGCGATCCTCGAGATTTTCTTCATCTGCATGTTAAGCTTCTGTTTTATTTCCATGTTAACAGTTGTATACAAGCAAACTCGATCATCAGCCATCTTAGCAAAACAGTTACGTTTCAACCACCGAGGTTTGATATTCAACGCATATGACAAATCAGCAGTTGTAATGTTGGCAGTTGTGGTAGGCTTCGCTCTAGCTTGTTTCGCAACTTACTTGCGATGTAGCTTTCTTCAAATTAAAGTTTTAGGAAACCATACAACTCAACTACACCTTTCGTGTAAAAGTGACTTTGCGTACAAAATACCTATGATAGTTCTGAACTCTGCAATAAACCCTTTGGCATACGCTTTCTTTAAGCGTGATATTAAAAAAGCCCTAAAAGGAAAGTAGCTTTCTCCTGAGGTTGGTTGACTTGGCAAAATGTATTTTAGATTGTAAAAGCTTAAACTTAGAGTGTATACTCCAAACAAATTCGTTGAATGTGTTCACTTTAAATGTAGCGCAATTCTAACCATGGAATAAATTATTGGCATTTTATGATAAATTCCTGTTCGTTTTACTAATCCATTTTTTCTCGATTTCCTGATAAAGATGTAAAAAAAAATCGTCTTTAGCGTAATACGCCCCTGTCTCTATTTTTTAAAAACCCAAGAAATTAGCTTCTGCCTCGTTTAGGAGGTGAATATTGATTTTGATTGGTTGATGATAAATTCCATGTTTAAATGGTTTTTAATAACACCTATTAGAGGCTCCCCTTGACCCGGGGGGGGGGAATTTAGGAATTTCTGGGTGGGGGTGTGCCGCTGGGACCCTGGAACCCTTAACCTATACCAGAGCTACTTGAGCTGAATTTTGCTACCCTATACTAGAGTAAATTTCCCAAATCCCCCCTATCCTAGAGTAGCTGTTTCCCTAGTCTAGGTAAAATCTTCAACCAACTGATCAATTTCCTGAAAAATGATACCCTATTCTAGACCCAAACGCTCTGATTTATATACCCTATCCTAGAGTAAACTGCTTGAAAACCATACCCTTCAGAGCGGCACATACTTATATAGCCCATATATGGCAGTGCCCCCCCCCCCCGGGCCCTTGACAGTCTTCACAACGTCACGAATATTGTTAATTTTAATTTGAGATGAATACCTTGACTGACCAATATTTTGCAGTCAAGAAAGAGCAATAAAAGAAATAGAAAATTAGATACAATAACACAGGTAACTTTAGTTTAGATCTGTTTTTTTTTACATGTCAAAGCCAAAGGGAAAAGTGTATAGAACCCACACTGCTGTTTGTAAAGAGTAGTGGGCATAGACCATGGAGGTGTGGTATACCCTTTCAAAAGCAGTTGGGATGTAAGTCCTGTTTCATCCCATGTCACTGTGGCAAATTCAATAAAGTTAAAGCACACAGCCCAGGGGCACCCAACGAGAATATAGTTCAAAACCACTTAAACATAGCATTGTTAAACGTATTTTAGTATTTAAACAGTAGATATAGGCATATTTGTATCCCCTAAAAATTTTTCATCTGTTCGGATTTCCTAGCTGAAAGTCTAGTGATCCGAAAATTATAGGGATCAAAACTTACCTTTTCAAAAATTTCAGCCAGAAAAAAGGCTCCCGAAAATTCTAGGTGACCTTCTTAGGGTAAAAATCCGTTAAAAATGAGCAATTATACCATTTTTTAGATGTTCAAAAATCCTAGGAGAGGTAGGCAAGCAAGAAATTTTACAAAAAATGTTCCGAAAATTCTAGATCTCAAATCGTCTTCCGGACAGATATTTTCTGAAAATTGACGTTGGGTGCCCCTGACAGCCTTGTCGCCTTTCTCTACTTATGTCTCCTAAAGAGAGTGCGCTACCAACCCCTAAGCATGTCTTATTTACAAGGTAGGTAATTTCTTATCAAAAAACAGCTGTGTTTGTGATTGACATGACAGCTGAGCATGATTAGAAGCCAATTATTAGCTAGTATAGCCTCCCATGCAGACGTTCTTACGGGTTTGTCACGCAATCATTCCTCTCCCACAGCGCGTGACGAACCCCTAAGAACGTTTCCGTGGGAAGCTATAGCTAATAGAAAAGGACATCAAATGTTTCCCATAGATCCCACAGCAATTAATGTAAAAATTCTTCAAGGACATGGGATTTCTTCCTCTCTTCAGTGAATCACATTAGACATAATTTGACCTCCACCATTTTTCCTATATGCTAATAGTTATAATATGGCTTTAACTAATGAAACCTTTTGTAGACAGTGCATATTAAACCTCCAAACTAACAAGGTGTCACCTCGAAATTAATTCAATTTTAACAAAAATAATAATTATTTTCATTTACATGTGGTAAAGCCCTGAGAACATCTGTGTGGGCTGGAGGCTATAACTAAGAGCCAGTTGCTGGCTAATTTCAGCCACTGGAATAGAGATTAAATTGCTTTAGAAAACAACAAGAGGTAATTCTGAAGGTGCAGTTAAGAAAGAAAGCTGGCTTCACTGATAAAAAAGCATGCTTAGCTTTTCCTTAGCTCCATCTGAGGTGATGTAGGGTATTTTGCCTCTGTGCAAATTTTAGTGGCAAACTGCTACTGGGACTTCCAAACTTTTAAAACCTGTGTTAAACTTCGTTCAGCAGAAATTTTTGTGACCCTATTTTACAGTAGACCAACAGATGTAATGTTCACACTAAATTGTCTTTTACTACATGCAAGTTCAGATTACATGACACCTTAGGGAAATATCAACTGTTAACTGCAGTTTCCTTCTCAAACCTGTTTCTGGACACTGGCTAGGAAGGTAGTTAGTAAATGTCTTTTTAAATCGGACACCCCTCATCAAATTCTAAACCCTCACCTTTTCACCCACCTTTAAATTAACCTTTTATTTACTGTCCCAATGGCACAAAATCATTATCAAAAGTAAACGTCACCATTGAGTGTAATATGTAACTATCAACTAGCCTATCTTCTTGCCTAACGCGAGTCCAGTTGGAAGTCAGAACTACTAAGGATGAATTTTACTTGATCCAGTCTGTCAGTCAACCGTGGATGTGTGTAGGATTTCACTTCATTGCCATCTTCTGTAAAAAAGTCTTCACCTTCTTCTCCAAGCAAACTTCGCTGGACAAGATTTAGTTTCAGTCTTCTTGTGAAAAAGTCTACTCCACCTTTAGCTATCTGCGGAGTGCACTCAGCAGAAATTTTGTCTGCATTGAATTCACTAAAGTGTTGTACCTTTCGATTCACAAGTCTGTAAGCAAAGTAGTTGACTCCACAAACGCTTAGATTAAGAAGTAAGTTCCACATGGCTTGCTTTTTAAAAGTTCTATAATGGACAAAACGGATCATTTTATATGTCAGAAACAACCAGAAAGGCGAGGCAAAAATATCAAACATTTTGAATTCTAAGTGTTGGATGTGAGCTAGTTCGTGGCCAATGGTGAAACCGATCATATCTTTCGTTGGAACATAACAAAATTTCACAGTTTCTCCGAATTCTGAATCCCACTGGATATTTCTTCCTAGGAATTTCAGACCGGAAGTTGCAACATCTTCTTTAGTTTGATACAAATACCACCTTGGCAAACCTATCACTGCTCCCTCAGGAAACCATGTCGAACCGGCAGACACAGCATGAAAACCTTCATTCACAAATAAGGTCACTTTCTGTGCACTGTTCTTCAAACCTAGTTTCACGGCTACTTCTTTAAACTGTTCGCGGCATGTCTCAGGAACGTCTACGAGGATGCCATTTTCATCTTTTAGAGCGTTAACTTGCTTACAAGCCTGATGGGGAAATAACTCCCCAGAAGCATTTATCACAAATAATCCTCCAATACCAAGACGAATACAAACACGGACTATTTTATCCGCCATGTTAGATTTGGTAACTGACAAGGCCTGGTGCCCAGTTTTGACCTCAGCCCCAGATCCTTCTTGACGATATCTCACAGGCCGCCCAGGCGCTAGGTCGGTGTTGCTGTGTTAATAAATTGCTGTTTCCTTTCTCCTGGGAGGCCAACCCATCAGAAGGCTTTGAAATATATTGTAAAAGGTAGCAGGGCTGTGCTCTAGCAGTGCTCAGTGACCCCTGGCAACTTACTTAGACCTCTTCACCGTGGTGAGGGCACGCTAAGTAACCTGGACAAGATGGCCGGGAAGTGAAAAGTTTGTATGGGAATTCAAAGTCAACTAATTCTTCCTAATTGAATATATTCGCCACTTTCTTTTTGCAAACTTTAACTAATGAACTTAACGAAATTATACACTAAATGTGGAGAGCAAAGCAGTCCTTTGTCACTTTTTAGAAAAATTTGACTTCTTTCATACATTTAATATGTGTAATTTTTGTGTTGTCAGATAACAGAAAATGTATGGAAGAACTCAACTTTACTAAAATGCAACAATGGACTGCTATACACTCCAGATTTAGTGAGTAGCTTCTTTAAGTTACATTTGTCAAGGGGAAAGTGACAAATACATTCAATAAGCAAGGATTAGTTGATTTTGTATCCCATTACAACCGTGAAGGGGTCTATAGGCCTGCTCTCGCTCGGGCAACTAAGATATCAGAGTTTTGTCATCAAAATGATATGCTGGGCAACCTTAATGTTACAGGTTAAAAATGCTATGGGCTTCTTTAAATTTTTCTAAAAGCACTACTACGACTAGTTATTTATTTATTTATTTATTTATAGTAAATAAAGGCTAATAAACAAATTATATCAGAGCGGAAGTACACAAGTCATTGCCGTACTTATACATGTAGATCACTGAGGTAGGAACAGGTTGTACTGAACTATAGTTGACCCTCCTCGTTTTGGCCGTCCCAATACCTCCCGTCCCGTCACCTCTATTACACAGTCATCAAGCACTTGATACACTTAGTCTGGCTTTATTTCAAGAATATGATGAAGGAAAAAATAACACAGTCTAAAAAAAGGTGACAACGGATTGTGGACCAGTAATGCTGCTGCTCCGTTCGTCTGGTTGTCTCAAAATAAAGTGATGTTTCTGCTAAAGATTATGCTGTGATGCTAATTTAGGACAGACCTCTATTGAGTGGCCAGCCTCCATTACAGGGGCGGATCTAGGGGGAGGGTGCAGGGGGTGCAGGGGGTGCACCCCCCCCCCCCCCCGATTACCTGCGCTTTTCTAATGAAACTGTAA